AATGTAGCTAACCCCGCCCCTTTCACGTGAACGCGCTCTCAGCTGGAGAGAGAAACCCTGGCTTGATTTACCGAGCTGATAACCAGCGCCGTAGGACCGCTTAGCGAGATCTCATTTGTTAGTTTGTTGTTGTTAGTTAGTTTGTTACTCAAACATATCCAGGGTATGTTGAACTGGCTTCGTAGTACAGGGCACAGGTGGCTAGCAGCGCTAATGTCAAAGACACAGACATTATACATTATATTTGTATTTTACCAGGATGCAGTGATACAAATATTTGGCTTAGCCTTCCCTAGCCTACAGCACCCGCCGCCCCTGCCTACAACTTTGAAGCTTCAGCATAATTACAAGCGGAGAATGGAGTAATTTAACGTCACAGCAGGCATAACAACAGCCGGTGTTTCTCGTGAGTGCAGTAATCCAAACGGAAATATCTTCATGTGACATATTTTGCTTAATATTTGGAGTACAAAAACAATCCTGATATCATTAGAAAGCTAGAAATCTAAATGTGTCTTCGGGTCAATGCGACTGATTTCGATGGAGCAGGTCACTTTGCATTAGGTACAATAAAGCAGGTAGACATAACAGGAAGAATATGTTGGCCTACATTTTAACCCAATCAAATAGGACATTGTCACACCATTCAAATGTATCCATGTAAATTACAACCAATAAAAAAGCTTAGATTTGTTTATTTGTTACGTTGTTTACTTTATTTGTTACGTTGTTCTGTGTTTGTCAGTCGTTAACCTAGAAATAATATATACACTTGCAAACATGTCAGAAGAACCAGCGCAGAAGAAAACTAAATACAGTCAATCTAAACTTAAATTTAACAACTGGAAGGTCACATCCCTGACATCCACATCTCCGGAGCCTGAACCTAATTCAAACATAGAAGCAGCGAAGCCAGATGAACCCAAAAGCAGCACCTCTGCGGCCGCAGAAACTGTCAAAAGTATAAGTATAAAGTTGTATATATTTACAGACTATTGCAAAAACTAAGAAGCTTATAAACATCAGGTTTAAAACTAAAAGAGCTTTACAAAAAAGTAACACAATTAAAGATGTTTGGAGTTTTATTTGAGTTATTCATTTACATTTTGTGTCAAAGAGATGCTGATTTGAAACCGTTGTTAGGCCTACATACAGTTACGGCATTTCCTGTTTCTGCCGGAGAGAGGGGAGTTTGTCCCAAAAGCTTGCTGCTGTATTTACTCCCTCCATCTGACAGGAGGGAGCCTCATGTGTCACTCCACGGAGTTCACTCCGTCACGGAGGGGGAGTGTGTAGGTGTAGGGCGTGGTTTGGGATTGGGCCATACACACGCACTTTTTTTGGCCCCCCCACTTCTAAAATGAATCCGGCACGCCTGGTGGAGTGCACCAGCTGGCAATAGTGTCTGTATGCAGACCACAGCAAGGAGGCGGATCCTAAAAGGGGGCGTTTCCTAAAAGGTTATGAGCCCCGCCCCCCACGTATTTCTTAAAGGTATATGACGCTCTGTTTCTCATTTATTTTAATGCTTTGAATGAATCATAAACGAACTTTGAAAAATAATAATTATAATTAATTTGCATATAGAATGAAGAGTATACAACCCACAGAGAAGACAAATTAATTGACCTATTGACAGATCATAATGAATACAGAGTCAATTTGATAGTTTATCATAACATAGGATACATTAAACTCATACATTGTAGGCATATCATTTTTTACTGTTTGTGCAGTGGTAGTAATTATTATTCAAATCAATCAACTACGTTTTATGGAAGATATTGCTGTATATCATTTAACAACATGAGTAGAGGTTTCTGTACACCTAAAATACTGAAGTTACTGTCCTGTTCATGTTGTGTCTGGTGGTAAGATTAATTAATTAATTAACGTATTTATTATTTTTGAAACATTACAATACACATCAAATATTAAACATGAAATGTATAGTACATGCCAATACATTGTACAAAGGAAAATATATACAGTACATACAAAGAGGAAAGTCTTCATTAAACATAAACATTTTATTGGGTGTTCAGTGTGCGAAAAAGTACACATCCCACCGTCCGGGAGGTGTTATTTACAATATTGGACAAGTAGATCTTTCAATTGACTTGTCCGGCGGACAAGTGGCGTTTTTCGCCCCGATTTATTGATACATTCAGTTTACAAAAGGCAGAACTCATTCGCAAATTGTCCGTGTCCGCCATTGTTCGTTTAGAAATGTTAGTTTCGGTTCTGCTTGTCGATTCCTAAGGAAATCCATCTCAACGCTTTCTGTACAGTTAGACGGGGCGGGGCGCAGGACGTGTAGCACAGTGGCAGGGTTGGGAAGCAAAACTCGGTTCCGAGTAGGAACAAATAACAATTGTCCGGTACCGGGATTAATGAGAGTTGTGAGGACAGGAGGCGAGGCCGAGCCCCGCGGACTGCAGCTCTCTCTCTCTTTATGCTCCGTATCAGCTGATCACTGCACGGTGCAGCTCAGCGTCTCTCTCTCTCTTTCTACACACAGCGGATCCGCTGCCCGTTTAACAGCCTCATCTTTGTCAAACTTTCTTATGTTATTTCTCTAACACGTAATGAAGGTTATTAAGCGTTTTAGCTCCTATGTTGTTAATATTGACGCCATTTCCTTTATGAAGTAAAGCAGCCTCCCTGTCTGTGTCCTCGCGCTGTCCTCACATCCCCGGACCCCCAGACTCGGAGGAGCACAGGGATGTCAGTATTGTTTATGAAGCAGGGTATAGAAAGTACATTATTGAAATGAAAATACTATTTATTTACTTTTACAAACATTGAGCAGCTGGACAGCTGCAGCATGTGTATTGCAGGACATGTGTAAGCGTGCAAGCGTCTTTGAGTTGTAGAAAAGCGCTAGGCCTATAGGCTATAAATATAATTTATTATTATTAGGTTATGTCCTATGTGTTGGACATGTGTGGTTGGACTCTGTCTCAGAGGCAGGTTGCAGTGTAACATCAGAGGAGACTGGGCCAATTGTACATTCTCAAACTGCACCACTTAGAACTAACTAAACAATGCAGAGATTATTTTTATATAATTTTTATTCAATAACCGTAAGAAATTCAACAGTATGAAGTGATTTGTAAATAGGAATACAGATTTGACTTAATGTTTTCATAAATATATTTTTCTTCCAGTTTGACTTATTTTGACCCTCTTAGAGAACCGGAATCGAGAACCGAAAATAACCGGAATCGAAAAGCAGAACCGGAATCGTTAAAATCCAAACGATACCCAACCCTATGTGTGATGCAGTAAAAACCGTGGGAAAATGTAAAATACGATGACGAAGAAGAAGATTCCAGTGGCCCCAAGTTTTGTCCATTCTGGACAAGTGAAAAATGTATTCGGACAAGTAAATTGCCAAACTCACTTGTCCATGGACAAGTACTCTCTAAAAACTTTTTCTCACACTGGTGTTCTAATTCAGCAACCACAAAATATGTGCCCAGATTTCATTATCTCTGACTTCATCAACCAAAAGATCAATTTTGATATTTAACATGAACTCAGAAAGAAAAACACACTGTCTGCCTTCTACAACTTTTGTTGGTCATCTTTGAATATCATCCAAGTTTTGTAGATGGACAATTTTGCTATTATTAGTATAAGGTTTACACTAGGCTATATATTTCACTATGGGGTGTGTTAAGACCCAGAATGATATTTGGCTATTTCTGTGTAAATTCCACTTTGAACAGAGACAAGATAAGGGCAGCAACTTGAGTTGCCCAAGCATCGACATGAAACACACATAATGGTCTGTCTCCTCTGTGACCAAACAAACAGCACATAGAGCAGTAGGGACAAGCTTCCATTCGTACAGGTTTTACATATTTGGAAGAATGTCATGTAATATTTGAAAATTGAATTCTGGCAATTGACCCTCTGGAGAAATTGTCTGTATAGGCCGCAAGGTGAACTTCGAAAAGTCCTTTAGAAAAGAAATCCCGCTCCACAGAAGTGAAACTACACAATCTTTAGTTCATAAAAAAGAACGATTCATGCTTATCCACCAAAAAAAAAATTCGTCGCTAAAATTCCTGCCAATTCTTCTAGGCACGTAATTATTGGCTGAACTAGTCCCTTCAAAGCGTAATAATATCTTGGTCCAAAGTCGTGCCACGGTTCATCACGTGATCGTGCTACACCAATTGGGTAGCTGCATATTGTCAACAGAAGTGAAAGATGGCGGCCGCCATGGTTTCATCGAGTAGCGGAGACGAGGAAAACGCACCAGAAAGTCTCAAAAAGTCAAAATTGTCAACACACAAACATTGTTACATGCATATTACGTCTGTGAAGCACGAAAAGGTTGATTGTTTTACCAATACAAGATGGAATACGTACAGGACAAGCTTACAACGGTCGCTCGGCTTGAAGGGAGACTCTCGGAACGTGGTGGCTGAAAACCACAAGCACTGTCTTGATTTCGAGTTCGAAGATATTCCTGAGGACGCTGGCTTCCACCACACATGCTACAGAAGGTTTACCGACACAAAGGCCATGACGAAGGTGGAAAGACGGCTCGCACGTGAGGGAGATCAAGACGTTAGGGAGGACCTTGAGGTCGAGCCCATCCCATCGACGTCTCGCAGCACGTACCGAAGCCAAACAGAGAAGCTACGATCAAGGTCAGGCCTGCCAATCGCAGGCTCTGGCCCCGTCCTTCCTGCCCTGTGCATTATATGCAAGATGAAGGAGAAAATGATCATCAAAGCAGGCAAGCGACAAAGGGATCAACTGTGTAAGGCTGAAACATTAAAAGCAGGTAAGCAAACCCCCTCCCCCACCCACACACACTACACACACACCACACACACACACACACACATTCTCTGTGGTTGAATAACTGAAAGGTACAATTATGTGTGAGAGATACGTCAACAAACTCATTGAGTTGTCCTTTTTTTCCGTTTAGGCAAATTGCAGAAAGCTGCTGAGAAGAAAGATGACCAAAGTGTTCTTTTACATATAAAAGACAAAGACTGTGTGGCTCTGGAGGTGCGGTACCACAAAAGCTGTTACAGTCAGTACACCATGTTTTTGCTGAGACCTGACAAACCAGAGACAGAACAGTAAGTTATTTCTCCTTGGATTGCTTTACCTATTTGCACTACCACCAGACTGAAGTCCAGGTGTGTGTCGGCGATGGCTATATATATATATACACATACACATACTTAACATAAGTAAACATCCAATTTCCTTCTGTTATATGTGCACACAATCACAACACTTATTCATTTATCCATTTATTTACTTCTCATTCATGTGTTGTAGGGATGAGGCAATGTTTGATGCCAGTTACAAGCTGTTCTGTGAGAGGATCATCCGCCAGAGGCTGCTTGTCAACAATGAGGTGCTTAGAATGGGCCAGCTGAGGCAGGCCTTCATTGACATGGTGAAAGCAAACGAAGGTGTTGATGCTTCAAACTACAGGTAACTGCAATGTAATACAAGTCTTATTATTTATCATGTGCAAGGCCAGCTTTAAACAAAATGTGTATGACAGGCCTGTTTGGAGAAACCCCCATGATGTGTAGTGTGTAGTGTTGTTTGTGACGATGTGGGCCTTTATTTGGCTTCTTTGGTGTTAAATGTGCTGTATGGCAGATAGGTTCTAGTCTGTAATGTCTTGTATCACCTCCACCACTCTGCTTTTGATGGTACTCCTGTGACTCGTAATTGTCACTGTTTTGTTGTGTTACAGACAGGATCTGTTGAAGAAGAGGCTGGCTCAAGATTTCCCTCAGCTAGCGTTTCACATGCCCACCAAGCGCAACGTCTGCGAACTGGTTTTTGCTGAGACTCTGTCAAAGGATGCACTCGTGGACATGCTACCAGATCCATCCGGTACGGAAACAACACAGTCCAGTGAATTGAGCCAGACAGACAGCGACAATGAAACAGGGAGAACAAAGTGCCAAACAACACATGAGGACACAAGGACACTGTATACAGCAGCGTTGTTTTTGAAAAGACTGCTTAGTGACACTCCTGGCATGTCATGCCCATGGCCTCCCACTTCTGAAAATGTAAATGTCACTGAATCTCAAACTGTTGTCCCCATTGGACTATACAATCTGCTCAGCTGGATTATAGGTTCCACTGAGGAGCCAACACTGGATCATTATGTCAACATTGATGATGACGTACATTTGAAAGTGTTGTCTGTTTGTCAAGACATTGTGTACCTTGCTTCCAAGGGCCGCAAGCAGACACCCAAGTCCTTGGCTTTAGGTTTAACTGTTCGACATTTAACTGGATCATCACGCATTGTATCACTGCTTAACAGACTGGGACATTGTGCATCATGGGACACAGTTTTGAGTCTAGACACTAGCCTTGCCCAACTGACACTAGTAGAAGGCAGAGACAAAATACCGAAGGGATTCTCAAAGCGGACACCCACAACACTTGTGTGGGATAACATTGACTTTGGTGAGGAGACACTATCGGGTCGTGGAACTACTCACCATACAAATGGAATTATGCTCCAGAGTGTGCCCGGCGAGCCTATGTCCACAGCAATCAGACAGCCACTGAGAAAGGGAGTTACTTCATTCATAGCCCCCCCTCCAATGCCTATACAACCTTACCATCAGTCCAAAAGGCAAGGGCCACAGAACTTGTGTCAACCAGTGCAGTCAGCGACATGCAGAATGGACACCCACTTTGCTGTACAAGCTGAAATGGCATATGCTTTTGTGAAGTCCACATGTACGGATAGTTGTACAATCCCAAGCTGGACAGGGTTCCATACACTGCTTCAGGATGAAAACACTCTGCAGAAGTCCGTATTGTATTATCTTCCAGTCATTGAAGCCTCACCAACAGAGATGTCAACAGTCAACACTATCCTGAAGCGAAGTGTCCAGATTGCTGACCAGCTAGAACTGGATCATATAGTTTTAGTGTTTGACCAGGCTATATATGCCAAAGCACAGCAAATACGCTGGAAGGATGTTGAGTTACAAAGCGTCTAGTGATTAGACTAGGTGAATTCCATACATGCATGTCCTACCTGAGTATTCTAGGCAAAAGGTTCGGAGATGCAGGACTGCAAGATATCCTCATTGAATCTGAAGTTGTTGCCCCAGGATCCATCAATGGGGTACTCAATGGCCATCACTACAATCGCAGCATGAGGGCTCATAAAACTTCTATATGAGAGTCTGCAGCGCATCCGGTTATCACCTTCATGGACTCCTTGCCACCCCAAGAGAGAGCTGCGTGCATGGATGTCATCACTGAGATGGAATGTGCCTTTCCAGATAGATTGATGGATGTTTTGAGTGCAGATCAGAGGTTTGATAATATGTGCTCGAAATATGCAGACTTTGTGCAGAGGAGGAGTACAGAGAATGCAACATTTGCTTTCTGGAGCTCATACATTGACATGATGCAGCTACTCCTCCTGTTTGTGAGAGCAACGCGAGAATCAAACTGGCAGCTTCACCTGTCAACCGTCCGGTTAATGATGCCATGGTTTTTTGCCTACGATAGAGTAAATTACGCTCGATATTTACCTGCATACTGGCTGGAAATGATGAATCTGCCTGTCACACATCCCACTTGCCACAGTGACATGAATGTGAAAGGCCAGTGGACTGTCCAGCGACAAAGTGTTCATGGATTTGCCTCCATTGCTTGCGACCAGGCTATTGAGCAAACGCTTAACAGAGATGCCAAGACCAAAGGTGGCTGGACAGGGATCACACAAAATCGGTCTGCAGTGTATCGCTGGATACTGTCACAGCATGAAAGAGCCGCGATAGCAAGACAGTGTGAATCAATGGCAGGGATATCTCCTGAGCTACGGACAAGAAAATACCTGGACAAGACACGCATCTCTGCTGATGCAAAGGCTGTGAGTAGAATCTTGGACACTATTGATTCCATGCTCAACCCTTTTGATGTACACCAAGACGGCATTGTGTGTCTTAGCTCTGGAAGAGTAGCAACAGGAGAAATCACAAAGGATTTGCTTGTTGCCTCAGAAAAGGGTGAAAATGCGGTAAAGGAGTTTATGGAGCAGAGACTGTTATCCAAAACAGTTGACATATTTGCCCCCATAATATCACAAAAACTCAAGACTCTCAGTGATCAGAAAAAGCCCCCCAAAAAATCTGCAGCAGGCAAGGAAGTGATTTTGCGTGCTGACAAGAAGTTATTTTCCAGGCTCCTCATCCTTGGCCAGAGCAGGAAAATTGAAATGAGGGAAATTCTGTCATATTCCTTGGGAACTGTGTCATATCCATTAGCAAGTGCTGATGGTTCACTTGCCAAAACAAACAAATCAGCTCTCATGGATCTATTGCAGAGCAAAGGTGGAGAGTGCTTGGTTGACAAAGTTCCAATAGGTGGTGCCATTCTTTTTGATGGCATGGCAGTCATGCAGGCCATGCCATCCAGACCAGCAACATTTGGAGAGCTTGCAGAGACCAATACTGCAGAGCAATACTCCAACTTGGCTTTGCATCACAAGTGT